AGAGAAAAACATGGTAGGGGATCTGGCCCCAAGATCGCAGGAGGTCTGTGGATGTGCGGAGACACGACTATAGGTTCTCACACCCCTGGGAGACCGTGGATCAGGGTTGGTGTGTGTGTGTGTGTGTGTGTGTGTGTGTGTGTGTGTGTGTGTGTGTGTGTGTGTGTGTGTGTGTGTGTGTGTGTGTGTGTGTGTGGTTTAACCTTATTGTTCCAGGCTGGATCAGAGGTGTGTGTGTGTGTGTGTGTGTGTGTGTGTGTGTGTGTGTGTGTGTGTGTGTGTGTGTGTGTGTGTGTGTGTGTGTGTGTGTGTGTGTGTGGTTTAACCTTATTGTTCCAGGCTGGATCAGGGGTGTGTGTGTGTGTGTGTGTGTGGTTTAACCTTATTGTTCCAGGCTGGATCAGGGGTGTGTGTGTGTGTGTGTGTGTGGTTTAACCTTATTGTTCCAGGCTGTCAGGCAGGTGTGTCCCAATGTAGCGGAGACGCGACTATGGGTTCCCACAGCCTTGGGAGCCCATGGATCAGGGTGTGTGTGTGTGTGTGTGTGTGTGTGTGTGTGTGTGTGTGTGTGTGTGTGTGTGTGTGTGTGTGTGTGTGTGTGTGTGTGTGTGTGTGTGTGGTTTAACCTTATTGTTCCAGGCTGGATCAGGGGTGTGTGTGTGTGTGGTTTAACCTTATTGTTCCAGGCTGTCAGGCAGGTGTGTCCCAATGTAGCGCCGTGGATGTGCTGGGGCGGGGGTGGGAGAGGGGATGGCCACGCAGCTGAGCCTCCCCCTCCCCGTAGGTCATCATGCCTGGCTACTGTGTGCAGGGCACTGTGGGCCACAAGATCCTCAGTGGGCAGCGCAAGCTGGAGATGGAGGGACGGCAGGTGGTGAGTCCCCTCTGCCCTGGGTTGGCAGGGACCCCCTCCCGGCCCCGCTAGTGCTGAGTGTGTTTAAACCGCGCTGCTGCAGCTGGAGGTGAAGATGCAGGTGGAGTACATGTCATTCAGCGCCCACGCGGACGCCAAGGGCATCATGCAGCTGGTGGGACAGGCAGAGCCAGAGAACGTGCTGCTGGTGCATGGTGAGGCCAAGAAGATGGAGTTCCTGAGACAGAAGATCGAGCAGGAGTTCCGTGAGTGCGGGGG